TCCATTGCTTAGATACTTTCCACCAGCAGTGCCCAGTACTGATTCTCCCCCATGCATTCCATAAAGCTCTTTGGGACTTGGCATCCTCTCTGTTTTAGAAATGTAAATGTTTAAGTCAACAGCAGATGACAGATCATATGTGTACACTTGGGATTTTAAAACTCATCCTGAACACTGCGACTTGTTTGTACACATTCTCTCTCTCTAGTTCTCTCTCAGTCCTGTGCTCTAGTTCTTTCTGCATCAGCTTTTTGATTCAGTTGTCCATGGGTTGTTGCATCAGTGTAAAAGGGACTGAAACTTCACTCCAGTGGCTCCAGTCAGCCAAGGAGACAGAACTCAAGCAGTGGTGAGGAGTAATTGTGCATCATCACCAAACGATTTGAAATGAGATCCAAGGGCTGGAAGCTGAGGCTAGACAAATTCGGACTAAAAATAAGGTGCAGGTTTTTAACTAAGAGGGTAATTAGCCATTGGAGCAATTTACTAACAGTTTTGGTGGATTCTTCATCATTTGCAGTCTTCAAGTCAAGACTGGATGTCCTTCTAAAAGATATCCTCTAGCTCAACCATAAATTATGGGCTTGATGCAGGAATCACTGGGTGCATTATGCAGGAGGTCAGACTAGGGGATCATAATGGTTCCTTCTAGGCTTAAAATCGATAAGAGGTGACAACCCTCCAAGTTATATAATTTTCTCCATGTTGTTCAGCACCTACATGCACTGTTATAATTCCTTAACAGAGTGCAAAGCACCATCAGTATGCTGTATTTCTCTTATCGTGAGGTCTCCTCATGTGTGCTCACTACTCTAGGTGTATGCCAGGGCAATATCTGTTGAGGGGATTGTTCAGTAGTAAACAAGGTTAAAAATCTTGGCAGTGTTTTGGACCAAGATCTTTCCAGAGAAAACCCTATGTGTCGAACAAAGTACAAAAGCACACTGTATGAGCAGTGTTTGTCATTATTTATCCTATGTTGACTTGTGAAAACCAACAAATGACCTCATGACCACAAGGTTCACTGATGGTAATTTCCTCCTAGCAGTAATCAGAACAGGCCTTTCCATTGCTTGCAGCTTATTTGAAATGCAGCAGCATATCTACTCACTGACTTGAGCCCTGCATTCTTTGCATTGTCTGCCTATATAAGCCTTTACTCCTGCGCAAATTCTGCTCCATTGTGCATGCACAGAATTCATATCCCGCGCAGAATTTTTTTTTCTCTGCAGAAAATACATTCTGCCAGAGAGGTGCTGCAGTTACACCTTTTGCCCATCAAGGGCTGCTGTGGCACCAGAACAGAAAGCAGTTGCTTCTGGGCGGGAGCAGCCCCAGCTGTGGATAAGAAAGAGAAGAAGCCGGGTTCCTGAGAGTGCCCTGCCTGTGGGACCATGTCAGGAGGCACAGGATATGGGGA